CAGACTCTATACTAATCCTTATTGGAACAGATAAGATAAGAGTAAGAAAGCAGATAAGATAAGGATAAGGTAAGATGAACTGTGGCTAGCTAGATAATCTGATGAGGGTCCCACGTTACTGCTGCTGCCGGCGGCGGTACTTCTTCCCCACGAATGCGTCCATAACAGGACACCTAGGTTCTTTGGGTGAAAAGAACTGCAAATACCTTTGCTGATATCTTGGAAAAACAGGGGGTGGGTAGGGGTCAATTGTTTTGGGCAATTCTGTTCTTGTAATATGGGGCCTCAAAGTGCTGTGGGCAAGAACAATACTGGATTTGAAAAAAGGGAAACCAAAGGGCAACTGCTTCCTTTGTGTAAAGGCTGGTCACCAGAAGCACAATTGTCATCTCTACCTAAGATGAAAAATAAGAGTACAATAGATATAAATATTCTCATTGTTAAATCCAGTTTGTTAGTTGGACCCTCTAATTCTTGGTGTATATATCTACATCATCTTATTTTAAACATATATTTACTGTATACAATCTGCTCTGTGGAAAAAGCTGTTTCCTAAGTCAGCATCAGTAAGATAAATAGGCAGTGTCTTTGGTCCAGGATTAAAGGTGTAACTTGGGCAGGCTCAACACAAGCCCAGTGTGGACTAATCCAAATTTTTGCATGGTTTGCATGGAATTTCAGAACCATGGGCTGGGCTTGGGAGACAAAACCTTAGGTATTGCAACATCATGACTTGGAATTTTGGGTCAAGGCCTCAGGTAGCCAGATCCTGGACCCAAAGGTGTTTGCTAATCAAGTGAACTAGAAGTGAAAACATTGTCCCTCCCAAACCCAAATTATCTGAGTAGTGCTCTTTTCAATTCCCTCAAACTCCTGCCATCCAGCAATGTGGAGAGGGATTGAATTACAACTACTGCCTTTGAAGCCAGAAAGGGGAAAAACTAAAGCCAGAGCTGGTGCAAAAGATCTCCACTAAAATAATTGCAGGTTTCTTTGCTTGCCCTCATCTTCTTCTTACAACCTGCAAATGATAATTGTAGGTTGTAATTTACACAACACTGTTAAAAAGAGGTTTTTAATCTTATTTAAGAATGAGATTTATTAGGTACAAAGCAATGAGAAGAATTGAATCTTAAGTTACAAGAGATGTCCAACTTTTCTGAATTTTAGCAAAAAAAAATGCCTAAGCCCAATAGCTCTGACTAAGATGTGTTAGGATTTAAACAATCAGCTTAGTTTATCTTGGGTTGGGTGGGGCTTTGGGCTGAGGTGCCAATACATGTAATCAATAAAAAAAACTTAATATTCACAAAAGCACCATAGATGATCAAGTCAAATGAAATTTTGGCCTACAAGACCTTCTGGAGGGATGCATCAACTAGTAGATTTCCAAACCCAAGTGCACCAGCCACATGACAAATGTGTTACCTCCTCAAGCTAACAGATAAATAAAAATTAATTACCACATACCTGATCTATGGCAGCAACAACATCTGCAGCAAAGCCTCCAAAACTTTTGTATAGTGCCTTGTAAACAGCAATGCTGAAACAAATTGACAGACAGTATTAAATAATGACATGAAAAGATTTGAGAACGTCTATGTAACATGAAATAATTATATAATTAGAAATATATTTTCCAACATGGCAACTTCAAGAGGCCAACAGGCTATTAAAGCTTAAGAACTTAGATGTGGTGGCATTTGGATAACATTCTATATTATAGACACTGAAATATAACCATTAAGTCCATCAGATTTTCATTATTATACTAGAAGTCTAGAAGTTTGATTATTCTGTGAAGATGCACTATGTTAAATTCCAAATTTTGGTTGAAAGCACAATCTAAAATTAGACTGGATTAGAATTGATTGTAGAATCCTAGCCAAACACCTTGACTATCATTAAAATTCATTTCTGAGCAAAATCCAGATTCTAGAAAGCTAGCCAAACACCCTAATGTTCTTATATTTGAAGCTGAAGTTTTAGTACATATAGATTTGGAGGTGGCAGCAAGTATGCATCCATTTGTTTGTTTGTCTGTCTGTGTGTGTCTGTGTGTGTGTGTGTGTGTGTGTGTGTGAGAGAGAGAGAGAGAGAGACCAGCAGCATGGCAACAATTTCTATGATTCCATACATATTTTGCATATGGATCTATATTTCTATTCTCAAAAAATTGAGCATCTATCTCTAATAAATTGTTTGTATATTACTACTATAAGAAATAATTAACTATAAATAGATTTGGAGGTGGCAGCAAGTATGCATCTATTTGTTTGTGTGTGTGTGTGTGTGTGAGAGAGAGAGAGAGAGAAGCAGCATGGAAACAATTTCTATGATTCCGTACATAATTTGCATATGGATCTATATTTCTATTCTCAAAAAACTGAGCATCTATGTCTAATAAATTGCTTGTATATTACTCGTATAAGAAATAATTAACTATAAATAGATTGATTACTGGGAACGAGGAGCCATTCCACTTGCATTCCCAAAGTGATGTCCAGCTACAATTACAGGTATGCCATGGTTCCCTGCTGCAATGGACGCTGTGTGCCTGTATTTCACATGAAAAATAATCAGCTGCCTTTGGAAAGAATAGCCAATAAATGAAATATATTCTTTTTCTGTATTTCTTTTTTATGGGAAGTCTAAAACATAAGTCAACTCTGAAAAGACACAACCAAAGTATTTAGATAGCATTTATATGTGGACTAATTACACTTGTGGACCATGTATTGGCATTGAACATTAATCCTCCTCTGTGGCTGAGATCTCCTCAAACATAGCTTGGTTGGATGGTAGGAAGCAGCAATGAAAAGGCTTTTACTGCTCAGATAACCAAATTCTTTTTCCACCATAAAAAAAATATGACACATAAAGGAGATTTAATCATCCAATGTCAGATTGTTTGAACCTGGAAGATCTCCAAATGAGACCAATCAAGATCTGGGCTCACCATGCCTATGAGACAGGTGACTGAATATTCATTCTAAAGATTAATAAAAGAAAAGAAATAAAGAAATCTATTGAAGACCAAAGTTTTACAGCTTTCAAAGTCAATAAAAGAAGTTACATGAATGAAAGGGGAGAAAACTCACGTTCCATGGCCATCACCATCAAATGGTGAAGCATAATCCTGAGTAGCATTGAATATTCCCCTGGTGATAGCAGATGCAGCAAAATGGCGTGCACCAATGAGCTTCCTATTGCAGGACCCAGATGGAAAATCCCTTGTGACTTCACAAACACCAGAAAAGTGGGAAGGAACTGGATATGCATTTTCTAGAATGTCATCCGAGAAGCTGGGGTGTGTTGGATCTATACCAGTATCTATGAACCCAATCACAATTCCTTCTCCTGCATATGCAGGTCCACCCTCTTGGACCCATGCTCCTCGAGGAAGTCCCAAGAATTCTGGAGTGTGAGTGGTTGCAGTTCTAACTGAGAAATCCATAACTACATTGGCCACTTCTCGTCTTCTTGAGAGCTTCTCTGCCTTTGAGATTAACCAAGATCATAGAATAAGCAACTTTAATAAAACAAAACTTTATACAATATTTAGTTCTATACAATATTTGAAGTCTATGATAGGAAATCAAAGCATCTCTGAACACTGCAAAGACATTCACAGACAAGGAATTAGATACCATTCAGTTGCACACACCTGGGATATGTACTACCTTGCAAATTGACATTATGAAACGATGATAATCATAACATATTAGCATCATTTGGCATCATTAAACAATGATAATCAGCTAGAATTTTGAAGAATGGGGAAAGGTAGGAACATATATCATGGGATCCAGGACCCTTCAGGAAGATAGAGGAGAAGGTAGGAACATATTTGGTATCAGTTTGCTTGCAAGAAGTAAATGAAGACTGGAGATGGGGCCTAACAAATGTGTATGGCCCAACAAAGAGGGGGAGAGTGGAGGGTTTTGGTTCTACCAGAATTTCAGCAAGTTAACAGGTCTGATTTGTTGTAGAGGTTTTTCATTTTGACTAGTTATATTAGTGCGTCATCTTGACAACCATCTGGGTTGTAATGATTCTCTTTTTATTTTAATGAAAATTTCTCTTTTGTCTTCAAAAAAAAAGAATTTTGAAGAATGATATCTAAAAAGCCCATCCTAAACTTGTGGAGGGCATCTCTTAGACTCTGACAAGCTTGGGAATGAGCAGAAAATCAGATTTTGGACAAAATGCTGCTGTAGAGAGAGAAAGCCCTTTCTGCTTCTTTCCCAAATCCATTTTCCATTGTTGAGTACAAGATGGAACTGTGGACCGGTTCCCTACTGAATCTGACCAGGCAGTTTGATCTCCCAAATTCAGAAAGAACATGCAGGATTAGGTTGATAGAACATGCAGTGGAGTATTTACAATCTCTCCAGAACCTAAGACCAGACTTGGATTCTTTATACAGAAGAAAGTGCAAGTGGCATAAAGCAGGTAACTTTTCTGTCAAATCTTTCATAAACACTTGGATAATTCCCACTCTTCACACTTTCCTCACAGCCTTATTTGGTCCCATCACATCCCCTCAAAAGTGCCTGGGCAGCTTCCCTCTTTATATGCCTAACCAGGTACAAACTCTACAGCAGAAGCACGACTCTCCCTTCTATGAGTTATGTCCTTTGTAACTATGACCCTGAGATAGCTAATCATCTCTTCGTAAACTGCCCCAAGAGCCACAAGGTTTGGACCAGCATTCTGAGTGCTCTAAACATCAGTTGGACATTCCCCAAAAAAACATTTTGGAGACTCTCTCAAGCTAGCACATAGGTAGGCTGATCTGTAAAGGGAAAGTTACTGGCAGCTGATTCCCAGTGCGACATTTCGAACAGTGTGGGTGGAGAGAAACAGAAGAACTTTTTATAAGGAATGCCATAGCAAAGATTACTTCCCTGGGTTCAGTTCACAGCAGTTTTCAGAATTCTCCCTGAGCATCTATCTTTTTTTTCTTTTTTTTTATCAGTAGAAGATGTTTTTTTTTTTTATAAGTAATAGAATTTTCAGTAGAAGATGTATTTTATTATACTATATTTGCTTAACAGAAATTGATACAACTTGGTAGTGGGAGTGTCATTCCCAACTTTTCAACCCCAAATACAACTATCGATTTCAGATTACATAGAAGCCCAAAAGAAATTGCTGCTTCAAGGCCCCTTGTTTGGCTAAGGAGTCAGCTTCTGTATCCTTTGCAATCTTTTCCACTTCCCTTATCATATGTTGAAGGGTCCAAGGAGCACGTCTGTTGTGACTTGCCCATGAAAATGACTACTTTTGAGTTTCCTTCCACCTCGATTTGCCTAAGTCCCAATTGCTTTTCCATCTGAAGACCTTGTAGCATAGCCAAAAGCTCAGCCTTTAAAGAATTTCCCACACCAATTGGCCCTGAAACAAAGCCAAAATCCTCCTTTCTGAGTTTCTGAATATTCCTCCTATTTCTGCCAACCCTGGGTTGCCAAGAGAGCTTCCATCAAAGATCAACTTGATTTTGTTGCCTTCTGACAGTTTCCAGTCCTCTCTTACTCTATCTTTTTCTCTCAAAGACTGTGCTACTTCAATCCAAGCTCTTAAAATATCAGTGATTGAGAAGTCATGGAAGCTGACCAATGTTTTTACCCAATGTGCTGCTACCTTCAACTTTATGGCGTTCATCACTTCCTCTAGTGCTCTGCTTTTTTCCAAGAAGATCCTATTATTTCTTTCCTCCCAAACCACCCAAGAAATTGCTGCCTTTGTAGCTCTCCAAAGCACTTTCCCTCTTTTCTTAGGTTGCCTCAAGAAGTCAGGATTGAAAATACCCACCACATCTTGAGGGGAGATCCACTTACAACCAAAAACAGAATAGAAAAACTCCCAAATTTGATGCACAAAAGTACAGAAGATTAATAAATGAGATAGGCCTCACCACTTTCCTTAGATAAGAAGCACAAGTGAGGAGATAGGCAAGCAAAAGGCCTTCTTCTCTGTAGCATATCACTAGTATTTACCTTACCAAGGAATATTTCCCAGCAAAGAGCTTGAACTTAGGTGGGATATACTCCAAATTTCTTTCATAGGGAAGTCCTCTTTCTCTCTCACTCTGACTCACTCTCTTCCTCCAACCCTAATCTCACACAACCACTAGCGTAAATAAGCAACAGACTGAAATATATCAGAATTACACAGAAAGCCCTTTTTCTCCCATAAATACATATAGGTCCCCATAATTTATCAATATTACAAATATACTCAAATACAACCAAATATAATTTTTCTCTCAACACAAGGTTATTCTTCTTCTTCCTAGGGAGATATAATTCTGCTTCCAAAGGGCTAGTTTCCTATTAAATCTCTCAACAACTAGCTTCCAAAACCCATTTGGTCTAGGATTCCCACCTAGAGGCAATCCTAAGAAACTCATAGGCCAGTTCTTAACCTCACAGCCCAAAGTCACAGTGAACCTCAGGAGTTCCCCTTCTTTTAAATTAATCTCTACAATTCCACTTTTATTCCAATTAATCCTCAACCCAATCACACCCACAAAGTTATCAATCAACAAATTCAAATTTCTTACCATTTCCATAGTAACCCCCTCACAGAACATTATTGTGGCATCAACAAACTGGAGGTGGATGACAACCACTTGATTTCTACCTACTCTCCAACTCCTGATTAAGCTTTGTAAATATGCTTAGGACCTCTGCTTACTAAGGTAAAAAGGAATGGGGAAAGAGGGTCTCCTTGCCTAATTCCTTTCTTGGCCGGGAAAAAGTCCTTTGCTACACCATTAATAACAATTGAGTAATGAACTGAACTAACACAACCTCCAATCCAGACTTTATTTTCCTCCAAACCCAAATCTCTCTAGTATTTGTAGAACTTTCCAATCCACTAGGTCATAAGCTTTCTCTAGGTCCACCTTACATACCAACCTCTTCTCTTTCCCCTTTCTCTTTTCCACCACACACTCATTAGCCACTAGGATTTGATCCACAATCTGTCTTCCTTCCACAAAGGCCCCATGAAATGGTGAGATTACCAAGGGTAAAACTTGTTTAAGCCTCTCCAAATGAAATTTTGGAATGATTTTGTAAAGGCTCCCAACTACTAGACTTATTGGTCTAAAATCTTTAGGAGTTTTGGCCTCCCTCTTCTTTGGAACCAATGCAATAAAAGTGGCATTTGCCCTTTGATAGATCTTTCCTTTTAGAAAAAAAATCATTACAAACTTCCAAGAGGTCTAGCTTTAAGAAATCCTGACACTCTTGGTAGAAAGCCAAAGAGAAACCATCCAGTCTTGGGGCTTTAGATCTCTCCATTGAGAAAATTGTTTCCTTGAACTCTTCCAAAGAGAAATTCCTCTCTAAAAGATGGGGTTCCTCTTCTGAAACTCTAATCCCACCCAAATCCGACAAATCTGACAATACTCCACTTGAAATTGAGAATATGGCCTTAAAGTGATTCACAAAAATCCTTGTAATCTCCCGACCCTCTCTTATCTCTTGACCTTCCACCTCCACACTGTGGGTTGTATTTCTTTCCCACCTTCCACTTGCAAGTGAGTGAAAAAACTTAGGATTGCCATACCCCTCCAAAAGCCATTTACACCTAAGCTTTTGTCTCCAACATATTCCTTCCTTAAAATTTGTTCCAATTCTTGCTTTTGCTTCCACCTTTCATCTCTTTCCTCTTTTGATAGAGTTTTGAGGGCCTCTTTCCTATCCAACTCTTCAATCCTTGCAATTAGGTTATCTTTAACTTCTTCTATCCTCCCAAACTGCTCCGTATTCCAGACTTTTRTTCTCTCCTTTAAACTCTTTAATTTCCTAGAAAAAACCCACTACTTTCTTTCTCCCAAAGATTTGATTCTCCCTCACCAACCCTTCAACTTCTCCTTAAAATAAGTATCTTCAAACCACATATTCTCAAATCTGAAGAGAGAACGACCTCCACTGGGAACTTCTTTCTCAATGCAGACAGAGCACTGATCTAATGTAACTCTTTTTTTGTTTTTTTTTTTTTTGAAAAGGTAAGGAAATTTATTAAAACAAGAACCAGTACAAGGGAGCCTAGGCCATTAGAGGCTGCCTAGAGCCACCACAAATTACAGATACATCCAGTTCTGAGATCTAAACAACAGACTCAAATTCTGATTTTTAAACACCTCCGTTGCCGACACCCAGGACAGAAGTTTTCCCACAGCTTTCTGCACCAATTCCTCTGCAGATTTAGCTTTGCCCTGAAAAATTCTGTTATTTCTTTCAATCCAAATAGTCCAAAGCACAGCAGCCGGGATAGTCTTCCAAACCAAGATACCTTTCTTGCTGAGACCCTCAATCTGCCAACACAACAGCAGATCCTTCATAGAATTTGGCATTACCCAGCTGATTTCCATAGCTTGAAGAAAATGCCTCCAAATATATTTCGAGACTGGGCAATGTAAGGCCAGATGTTCAGTAGTTTCTACTAACCCACCACATAAGCCACATGACATGTCCGAAATCT